GGGTTTAGCTGTTCCTCAGAGAAGCCAGCAGCCCTCCTGGCTCTTCCACGATACACAATAACTGCCCAGAGAGGCAGCTGACTGAGGGGCTTCTGCAGGAGGGTGCTGGGGCTTGGCTGGATCCTGCTCTGTGCCTCCCACACAGACTCATCCACTTTAGGACAAACAAAGGGATTCCAGAGGGGTTTCTCCATCTCCCCACCCTCTGACCCCTGGTTTGACTCAGTCTGACTGATAACTTGGGGAATCCTAGGCCCTTTCTGCCAAGGGTGCCTGACCTCACCTGCAGGTGGGAAGAGAGGCCACCCTGTGAAATGAGAGTGTGGTCAGGACATTGCTGAGCTGGCTGAGGCTGCCCCTGGCAGTGACAGGGGCTCATGGGAGCAATTAGCAGAACCGCACTTACAGGCCTCATGGCCCCTGATTTGGTCTGCCAGCTCATATCACCAGAGCATCTTGTCAGCTGCTGGCCTGTCCCCCCTGGTGGCTGGACCTAGAGCTACCAGGCAGGTGGTATGGCCTCCAGAACCCTTGTATATTTATTGTGGGGACTCTTCTGGTGGTGAAGATGCCCCAACATGCCCATCTCAATTCTCTTATATATAAGATGGGTTACATTTCAGGCATTCAATTTCCACTTCCCGGAAACTGGAGCAGGGAAAAAAGCAAAAAAACACAGCATCATTCTCCCTCTTCAGCAAGCACAGGCACTGAGAGGCAAAGGCAGGGAAGGAGTCATTTATTCTTTAAACAAATGACTCTTGAGCCCTGAGTATGAGTCAGGGTCCAGACAAAGAGACACAAACAAGGTTTCTCTGTGCTGGGAAGCTTAGGGCCTCCTGGGAGAAGACGGGGGGTTTGTGTGAACTGATTTAATATGAGGTGATGAAGAACAAATAAACCACCTGGTGGGGGAGGGGCTTAGGGAAGCTTCATGGGGAAAGGGTATCTGAGCATCCTCTTCTTCAAGCAAGAATGGAATGAGGGGCCTTGGCAGGGGATGGAGGGGAACACTGAGGTGCCGACTGGAGCATATTTGAGCAGCAGTCACAGGTCAGACTTGAAGTGACTTTAGGTCAATGACAGCTGATCTGTCGGGACCATTTTTTTTTCTGGCAGGGTTGTATATAAGCTAGGCAGGCCTTGAAATCAGTACATAGTAAAAGACCTCGAGTTTCTTTAAAACTTCTGAAACCATATTTATCGTGTGTGTGCCTGAATACAGGCATGTGTGAGAATGCCCCAACACGCGTATGGAGGTTGGAGAACAATTGTGAGGGGTTATTTCTCTCCCACCATGATGTGGGTCTCAGGATGGAAATTGACGTCATCAGCCTTGGTCGAAAGCATCTTTACTCCCTGAGTTTCCTCATTGGCTCAATTCCTGAGTGCTGGGATGCCAGGTATGTGTGGTCATGGTACCAGGAATCAAACCCAGAGCTTTGTACATCCTAGACATGCGCTCTTCCAAGCAAGCTCTCTCCCGGCCCAGGACCACCTATGCTTACCCTGTTCTCAGCAGAGAGACTGGAATAGGTTTGGATCTGACAGATGTTGAAGGACAGATGGGTGAACAGAGGCCTGAGAGCTGGCAAAGGACTCAAGCCCCATTCTTGCACATAGCAGAGGCCACTGTGACGTTGTGAGTCACCTTCGGCCATGTCGATGCCCATTTCCCAGGATCATTTGTAGAAAAGGCCACCCTAACGCACTGAATGAACTTGTCCCCTTTGTTACAGTGAATTTGGCCATGAAGGTGATTTGGTTCAGGCAGACAATGAGCTTAACATGGTGGGTTTGAGCTATGGAAATACTGACTTGGTGCAGAATCAGGGAAGGTCTAAAGAAGAAGAAGTTAAGGAGACAGGAAAGAAGACAGGGATCTGAGGAGAAAAGCAGTCCCCAGATTATCTAAGGCCCAGGGCAGAGTGGCTACGTTCTCATCGAAGGTAGAGGGGTTAGCCAGAATCTTGTCCATAGAGCCTGAGGACTGGGAATGAGACAGGCCAGAGAGCAAAAGGCAAGACTGCTGGGCCCCCAAAGGCCCACAGAGTGGTAAAAGAAAACCCACTGCAGACATAGCCACTTGCAAAGTAAGTTTGCAGTCAATGAGAGGGCTACAAAGGCAGAGCGGTGCCAATTACAGCAGCATTATCCCGGATTAGGAAGCTCCTAGGAGGCCGCTCCTGCTTCCAGACATGCTGTGCCTGGGAATTTCTAGGGGACACCTGGGATCCCAGTGTCCAAGCTATCAGGTACAGGCTGCTAGACAAATCTAACTCCAGGACCTGCAGTGTCCTGCCTCTATGCCATCAAGGATGTAGTTCACTGGGAGGTAGCAGGAGCCCCGCTCCCCACAACACATAGAGCAGGAAGGAGGAAGGGAGGGAGAGAATTTAGATATGGACCATCTCTGCAGGGGCTTTCAGTGGCCTTCCCCAGCATCAGGTCCCTTGATAGCTCTTTCTATTCCATGCCTACCCATGACATCACTCCTTGGCCTGACCCATGGAGACATGCTCTCATCTGGAGCCAGCCCAGAGTTGCCCTATCTCTTCTGGGCTTGTCCTATCAACTTCTCTCAACACTAGCTTCTGCTTCGGTAAACCAGAGAGATCAGACATCCCACCCCAGCCCACCCCACACCTCACTCACAGGTCTGTTTTCAGAATGAGGTGTTGCCGATAAAAAAATCCAGAGACAAAAATACCAGTACAACCTCCGTGCCTGAGAGCGCCTGTTGAAAGAAGAACCCTTCCCACTGGGAGCCCCAGGGGTCTCTTTCCATCATTTCCCACAGGGAAGGTTCAGCAAGTGCAGTCCAGGTGGTGGATTGGAGGACGTTCCCTGAAATACCTTACACGGAGATTGAAAAATCGGAAACAGCTGAAGAGGCCATTGATAGGGGCCTGATTAAATTAGGGCCATTCGTCCTGTGAGCCCTCTGCTGTAATTAGAGTCTGGCAGCATCCACACGCTGTCTTGGGCAGATCCCCACGTGGGGCTTTGTGAGCAAAGCCAATGCAAACACCTACAGAACGACTGCACGAGCTCTTCAGAGCTCTCCCACGGACGCCCTGTACTTCATCCATCCAAATATATGGCTGTGATTAACCAGAGAGAAAGGCCTTCCCAATAGCCTGGCTGTAATCTCTAGGGAGGGGCTTCAGATGGCAGCCAGGAGGTGGCGGGTGCATCAGAGCAAATTTCACCGTGCTGGAGATTAAATGTTTTACCACACTCTGTGTCTGTGGCACCTGCTTGTATTCATAGCGACAAATTCAATGCCAAGTGCAGAAAGCAGCACTTAGCCAGTGCTCAATCAAGGCTTGGGGGCCATAATTACAACCACGGTTCAAGGAGGAGCCGGCAAGGTTCACAGAGTCTCGTGTTGACGACTCCAGTGACGTCTCCAGTGCTGAAGTCCCTCCTGTGGGCAAATGACATCCCCAGGCATTTAGGAGGGACAGATTGACGGACAGATTGACGCCACTCAGACTGACTGAGCCGAGGCAATAGCCCACCTCTCCCGGAAGAGCTGTGTGCCAAGAAAACTATTGAACTACATAAAAATCCATCCCTGAAGTCCCAGAGGCATCCTTAGGCTAGAACATGGCCTTTAAATTAGATGGAGGAGGAGGGAAAAAAAGGAGGCAGGTTTTGCCTGTAACTCGATTTCAGGTTAGTGAGAGCTAGGGGCCAAAGAACTAATGATGCCCCCAGCAGAGCCCACCCACTAAAGTCCTGTGATAGTGGCTGTGAGGGACATTCTAGCCCCACTAAGCATCACTGATAACAAGCACATGTTCCCATGGAAACTGCTGCACAGAATCCTCTGGAAATTTTTTTCTGGGGGTGGGGGCACAGCTCCTGTACCTAGTTCCTGAGGTTTGGTTTCTCGAGATGCTTTTCTTTTGCAAAGGTTGTGGTGAGCTGGAGTCAATTGAGGGGTCGGGCGGGGGTCATCAACTTCCAGTCCTTTACCACTCTTGGGAGAAGCTGAAGGTGGGAAGCTGTAGGGTGTCCCTTGAAGTGATCCTGATGTTCTAAGGCTCTGAAGAAGCTACCAGGTGAGAAGACCTCAGAGAGTCAGCAGCCTAGGCCAGAAGAGTGCGTGGAAATCCCTCCAGGCAGGGACAAGGACAAGCTCCACCCATGAGACGGTCACATCAGCCTTCCTTGAAGTGCCCAGGCTCCTCTTTACCTTCCACATTCAGCCATCCTCTCTCAAGTACCTCCCAGCTGTGCCCCTTCTGGGGGTGCTGCTAGACCCAAGAACCACCTCCCCTCTGCACCACTGCCTGCGCTACCCACCTGCTATCCCCTGTAGCTGAAGAAGCCCTAATCTGCCTCCTGAGAAGGATGCTTCCATTTTCTGAGATCTGTCTGTTCTCTATCATTGCCCTAGCAGTTTGAATCAAGGAAACATACTCAGCGGGGACCAGGGAGCTCCCGTCTGTCTTTAGGACTACACCCTGAGTGGTCTGGTTTGTCGCTGGAAACCCAGGCTCAGGCAGGCAGATGAGTTGCTGCTAGGAAGTGGAGCTGGGTCCTAAGGGAGGACCCCTCTCCTCTCCCTTCCGATTCAAGGCCTATCCCCAAGGGGTTCACATTCAGGGCCCCTTCTCCTTCTCCTTCCTCACTGCCATCTGCATCCTTCATCCTTGCACCAGCTCCTCTCCCCAGGCTCTTAGGCTTGGGTGGGTGCTCAGCCTTCTTTGCTGACTACTGGGAGACACAAAATACTCTGCCCTAACTCTCCCTAATATGGAAACCCCTTATTAGGTCCCACCCTGAATCATACATGTTCCTTTCCTCCCTCCTCTTCTTTTCCTTCTCCTTCCCTTCCCAGACTCGATTCTTGACCAACAGGGCCCTTCGTAAAGTCCTGTCGCCCAACCTTGTACCCGTTTTTGGCGCAACTAGACCTCAGCTATCATATCACTCTGGCAATGTCTGTGTTCCCAGGAGGGGCAATGGGTCTTCCACAGTCCCTCGGCCACAGTAAGGAGCTGAGACTTTATTGCAAGCGAAGTAGAAGCCACAGAGGCTTTTCACAGGCAAGGGACAAAAACAAAGTAGGTTTTTCCAGGATCCCCTCAACTTTTGATAGGGAAGAGGCAGTGGGGACGTTGGGGACTTCTGGGGGGGCCTGGGTGTTGTGTCCTGAGCCAGGGCACCATGTGAATTCCCACCAGGCTTCCTCACTCACCTAGAAAGGGCAGGGAAAACCTGAGTCCCAATCAGAGAGTTCAGAGACTGGCTATAGAGTTCAGGAAGCAGAGGAAGTAGCAGCCAAGTGTTTGCTGGCTGCAGTTCCCACCCCAGCATTGACCTTCCTCTCAGGCTGCTGGAGTCGGGAGCCTGGGGACAGCTCTGTGCCACACAATTTCCCTCCTTCACAGACCAGGAACTCATTAAGCCAGCCTCGAGCACAGGCCTTCACTTAACCCAGCCCATGAGGAGCCTTGCTTGTTGGATGTTCACAGAGTGGGCCTTGATAGAACCAGGCTTGTCAGTTCCTGGCCACTGGGCCCAGAAAAGACTGGTGCCACTATCCAAGGGCACAGTGGGCTTCCAGAGATCAGCCTGTGTCCTCCGCTCTAGCCTTTGTATTCCTTCAAGGAGGGTCTCACTTGCAGAACAGAAGGTGTTGCCTGAGAGGAGACGGTTCAGCACTGCTGGGTCCAGGCTAGGTGCCTGCACATTGATACATCCTTGTCCCCTGGGTGCACACAGGCTTTGCAATGAACATTCCAGGAACTTTTGAAGTAGCCTGGAAAGCAGGGGAAGTAGATTGGCCTGTCTGTTTCACAGATAAACTGAGTCTGGGAAAGGCAAAGGAGGGAAGAAGGGTGAGAAAGGATCCCTGCAGCCCGGGACACAAAGGCCTTCAGTCCCTGTCTTCCAAGGATACGGTTCCCCTATTGCAGAGCTGCCTGGAGGATGAAATGAGGGGTTCCTTGAATGAGTTTCTGGTGGGGGGAGGGGGCAGAAAGACTGAGGGTCACTTTCATCCACCCTGGCTTGAACTTCAGCACAGAGACCCGCCTGCCCACCTACCCCGGGAAGCAGAGCCACGGAAGTGGCATGGAGACAGCTAGGCTGGTCTCCATCTGAAGTTGGGGCAGAATGGGCCAAAAGCAAATAAGTAAAGACAGAAGAAAATAGGATGAAGCTGAGGGTGGTGGGGTCAGAAGAGGCCACAAGGAAGGGATTTGGGGGAGCTGGGTCTTAGGGTAGAGTAAGAAAGTGGCCTGGAGAGCCAAGGGCAGTAGGCACAGTGAGGTGAGTGCCCACACAGGCTGGTGGGAAATCAGCTAGGCGTTCTTATTGGAGGAAAGGAGCGCCTGTAGTCAGTCCTCCACCCCTACCCTAAGCAAACCAGGCTTCCCTTTCTCACCAGTACGTGTGGTGTGGAACCTCCCTGCTCCAGGCCCTGGTTCACCGCCACCTGCCATATCCTAAGCCTCCATATCCGGCCCTGGGCCCAGCCAGCTTTTGTGTATGCAGTTCTTCGCTGCCTACTCTTCATTTCTCCTTAGCTATACCATTTCCCAGCTCCACCCAGTATGTGGCAAGCAGTCATTTATTGCCTTGATCTCACTGTTGGAGCCCAGGCTGACCTTGAGTTCACCATGACCCTTCTGCTCAGCCTCCTGAATGCTGGAGTGATAGGCATGAGCCACCACGCCTGGCTGTGAATTTGTGCCTTTGGGCTGACTGAGCAGGGAGCACGGCTCAGTGACCAGGCACAGCCCTGATCTGCCTGCGGGCCCCAGTGGAGACCTGTGTGAAGAGAGCCATGTGCACAGCTCTGTAGGGGATGGCAGTAAAGGATGAAGAGGGAAAGAAGTGGTGGACAAAAGAGCCCGGGGGGAACTGAGGTGCCCTTTGCCCACAGGATCAGGGGAAGAATGGCTCTCTAGATGGAGGGGAAGGCTGGGCGAAAGCCCGGAGATGGAAACTTCTGTCTGGCAGGAAGGATGAGAGAGTAGGTCAGGCCAAAGCAGGAAGAAGCCTGAATGTGCAGGTGACGGCATGGTCTACGGGCCCTGTTCCTGGCCCAGATCATGTCCTTGGACAAGAGAAGTGGCTCTGGGTCCCTAATCCAAGAGAAGGCTCAGGGCTTATGGAACGTCTCCTAGAGATTTTCATAGACGAGGTTAAATTCATTGTCTTCCTCAAACCTATTTCGTTTCTCCTAGGAGAGAAAAGAGAGGGAACGAAGGAGGGGGGAGAAAGGAGAGAGAGAAATATTAGGTAGGAAGAGAACAAATTTGAACCAATGTTTATTCATTTATTGCATTGATCTCACTGTGTAGCCCAGGCTGGCCTTGAGTTCACTGCAATCTTTCTGCTCAGCCTCCAGAATGCTGGAGTGATAGGGCTGAGCCACCACGCCTGGCTATAAATTTGTACCAATTTATTTTTGGTTAGGGGCAGACAGCTTACTGAGTCACTTCAATAGGAAGCATGACCTCTGTCCCCAAGCCCACCTCTTCTGCCATGCCTCTCCATAGCTGCCCTCTACCCTCTAACCCCAGCAGGCTCCCAGGGCCAGTTTCTGGCTCCTCCTCTCTGGCCTGGAATGTGATCCCCTCCACATAGACACCCAGCCCTTAACTACCAGGATTCACCGGCAGGTGCATCTTAAGAGGACCAGGGAACCCTCCCTGTTCCTCATGCTGGCCTGGCCTCACCACAGAACCTGTCCTCCAGACAGGGCTACCGATTTCTCTGCATGCCTTTGGGGTCGGTAGTTTATTCCCGCAGAGTAGGTTTCTAGAAGGCAAGTGTACCTCACTTTCCTGCCTAGCACCCCAGAGCCTGACCTTGTATAGACACTGACTGAGATCTTTCCAGTGGTCCAGGGTGGGAAACCCTGTTTCCAGTTAGGGCCTAGTTCAGGGTTTTGAAAACTAGAGATTCAGCAAACACTTCCAGCCTGGAGTGAGGGGGCCAAGTACCAGTTCCTGCACTCCTTGAAGCTTCTCCACGGTGTTTTGAGACCACCCACCTTGCAGGTTTCCCACACTTTGCAGAGTTCAAAGCGCTGGGACTCACGTTACTCTTTTGAATTCTGGCAAAGCTGGCAGCTCAGGTCAGTATTACTCATCCACTTTAGAGATGAGCACACTGAGGTTCAAGAGAGAAAGCGTGACAAAGTAGTGAGCCTGAGGCCCGGTTACAATAACAGCTAGAGCTGGCACCAGTGCACAGCCAGCTCAGACTGTAACCAGCACATGCCTGGGGCCATCTGGAAGCCTTATGCTCTCACTTGACCGGCCAGTGTAGACACTGCACAGTGCTCACCAGTGGTGGTTATAATCGCCACACTGTGTGAGTTCACACTAGATCCTGGGTTGCCCTCTCAACAAGGTAAGCTGTTCTCAAAGAAAGCCTGGGAGGTGAGGATTACCCTGGCTCCTCCGAATACAGACCAGGAGATTCAAGCTCCTCCAAGGCTGCAGGGCTGCTGAGGGATCAACCAAGTTCAAAGCTGCCAGTCCTCCCAACCACTAGGTCAGCTTGTGGGGATGGCACAGTCAATTGTGAGTGGCCCAGTTCTGGGGTCTATTAAATTCCCATGGCATAGATGAGGGAGAGGTGAGAAGGAAGCAGGCTCCATGTCCCCAGGCCCCGGCATACCTTGGAACGAGGACTTTGGCTGGAGACAGGGCTGCCAGTCTCTCCTTCGAGGCAGGCATAGACCTCTGTCTCTCGGCGTTGTAGACCCTGCAGGAAAGAGGGCACTAGTGTCATGGCAGGTGACATAGAAGGGCAGTCCCCAGGTTCCTGCCTGTTGTTAACTGGATGTGCTGTGGAAGCCCAGGGAAGGGCAGAACCCCTGGGCTGTCCCCATTAAACCTGCCAGTCTCTAAGTCACTTGAGAGACTAATTGTACAGGGACAACTCTGTCTATACCACACTGCTTCCCTCAAGGACCGCCAGCAAAGCCCAGCTTGGGACTCAGTCCAGACTCCCCCTGGCTGGCAAAAGGACGCACTGTGGCCCACCATCCCTGAGAGTCCTCAGGTCCCTGAGGCCCCAGCAGCAGCAGGAAACCACCTACATGATACCTAAGGCCCCTGCTAACTTCTGCCCTCAATCCCTGGTTCAGGGACTGTCCATGACGGAATCCCATCCACCGGTTCACCTTTTAGGTCTCCTCTTACTCACTACCCATTCTGGGCTCCCAGACAACCCAGGCATGCAGTGGGAGCTCACTCCTCATTCATCAGCCCTGTGCCTTGCTGGAAGATTCCAGAGTCTAGCTCCAGAGCCCAGTGTACGCTGCTCTCTCCCCAGCCTGTATTTCCCTTTGGTCCCCTCAAGCCACCCTACTCTGGCCATCTAGGGCTAGAGTCATTCCCTAAATATGCACCCTTGGAAACACACGCTCCCACTTTCCCCCTGACCACAGCCCTGCAATCTGTGACTTCTCCAGAGAACTTCCCTGGGGCTGAGAAGCTGGGACCCAGCCTCTGTGGCTCACTTGGATATGGTTCACATCCAAGGTACACCCACAGCCTTCAGCAGACTGGGAATCTCTTGGGGACAGGGACCATGCCTGGTTTGTCTGTGGGCTCCGGACTCTATAGCTGGACTCGGCACAGTGAGAGTGCCACCAGGTGAGGATTGGTGAGGGAACTTCTCCCTTACTAGGTGTGTGGGGCCAGTCACTCCTGAGGGTCTTTAGCAGCCAGACCACAGATTCCAAGACGGTGAGAAGACCCTGGCTTTGAAGTCACACAAGACCAGGTTCAATTCTTGGCTCTGATACCTGCTGTCTAGTACCTGCTGTCACAGGCAGCCTCTTTGCTGCTCTGTGCCTCAGTTTCCTCATCTACAAAATGGAAATTATCATATCTGTCTTATAGGCCCAACACGTGAATAAATATGAGGCTCCACATAAAGAGCCTTGCACCGAGTTAGGCAAACAGTAGGTGCTTAATGTGCAGTTGTTCGAAGATCCTCTAGGAAGGCACCACCCCAGCTGCGGTGTTTCGGAGCTCTAGAACACAGCTTGCAAAAGCCCAAGCAAGAGGCAGAAACCCTCCCTTCCCCCGTGTACTTGTCACATGGATGCCGGCTTGTTGCCAAGGAGGCGGTTTCCCTGGCAACAGTCAAGCAGGGGTTGGTGAGGCAGGCTGGGGAGACAGGTGGTGCTCAGAGGCAGGAGGAGGGTGGGGAGGTGGGAGGGGAGAAGGGAAGAAAGCGCCCAGAGGTAGCCACGCATGAAAACCCCTGTAATAAACCATTTGGCGCTTGGGAGACCCTAACTTCAAGGGCACCAGACACAGGCAGGGGTGGCGAGGCTGTCCTGAGGACTGCTCGTAGTGTCTCTCAGCTAGACAGAGGGAGGGGCTTGGAAGAGGATTTTCCAGCCTGCCTCATCTCCAAGGGAAGAGAACTTCCAAGGCCCATTCTGAACCCTGTGGGCCTCTGTGCCTGACCAGAGAACTGACCTCCGCCCAGTGCACAGGGTAGAACATGTTACCCAGACACAGTATGACCCCTCAGGCCTCTCTCAGACCTCACAGACCCAGGGACCACAGGTGGTTCCCTCTCTCTCATGTCTCCACTATTCTGGCCACCCTAGCAGGTGCAAACCCAGAGAAGCCAGGGACCATCAGAGTCAGGGAAGGGCACCCTGTTTCTGGTGTCTGCATTGTAAAAGGCCTTTGACAGCTGGTGTCCAGTGGAGCCTTTGACAATCCTGACCTGCTGTCTGCATTTGCATTCAGGGTTTGACCTGCTGTTCCCGGCTGTGAAATGCAGGAGAGAGCCTTGTCAGCAGGACACTTCCGAGCCTCTCGTCCAGTTCAGTTTTCTGGGCCTTTCTCAGCAATGGGCAGCAAGGCTAACGGGGAGATTGCCTCCCTCGACTCTGCCAGATTGTCTTCAGGCTCTGCTGGCCTCTGCTCTGCAGCGGTCACTTCTCTGACTCAGGTCCTACAGGCCCTTTTGCCTCCTGTTGCCCAGTGGGCAGTTACAAATGTTCATTAGCCTGGTGGAAGAATCAAGGTCAGCCTCCAGGTTGGTTTAGGGCAGTGCGAAGCGGGCTGTCTGGGCCTGGATCTCCTCTGAGAGTACTCAAGGGTCATGGGCTAGCTCTGAGATTACAGCTTAGAAAGAGGCGGTACTGTGGAGCACCCCAGCTCTGGGTCGGGGGTCTGGTATGATTGAAGTCGCCAATCCACTCCTGGGAAAGATTTTCCAATACCACATCTGAGTGTGAGAAAAGTCACTTCATGGGGCTGGAGAGATGGCTCGGCAGTTAGGACTACTCTTTCAGAGGACCGTGGTTCAAATCCCAGTACCCACATGGCAACTCACAACTGTCTGTAACCTCAGTTCCAGGGAACCTGGTACCCTCATACAAACATGCAGGCAGGCAAAACACCAATGCACAGAAAAATAAGTAATTTTTTTTAAGTTACTTCAAAGAGGACAAGAATGAGGCATTGGGGGCGGGGACACTGGGCCAGGCAGAGGCAGAGGGCAGAGGTGAGGGGAGGTCTTTAAAAGCTACTGACAGGGGCTGGAGAGATGGCTCAGTGGTTAAGAGCATTGCCTACCCTTCCAAAGGTCCTGAGTTCAATTCCCAGTAACCACATGGTGGCTCACAGCCATCTATAATGAGGTCTGGTGCCCTCTTCTGGCCTTCAGGCATACACACAGACAGAATATTGTATACATAATAAATAAACATTTTTTTAAAAAAGATAAAAGCTACTGACACCCCATTTGCTAGAGTTATCCCCTCTACCCTGCATCAGGTCTCGAATCTAAGCTGCCCTGGAAGGTCCGAGCAGACGTCAGGCCACAGCCCTGAGCTTGTGCAGGATGAGGAGAGGGTTTGAGGGAGACCATGACAACCTAAGGAAGAGCAGGCATGACGACTGGAGAGACAGAGAGCAGCCAGGGGGGGCTGTCGTGAACATTATTTTGGAAAGGACCATCTGAGCAGAAAGTAGGTATAGAAAGGACCTCTTGACGGGTAGACAGTGACAGCTTGGAGGCTGTGAACAGAGTTCTAATCTTGGTCTAGGGTGGAATGGCAACTTCTAAAGGGTTGATGGTCTCAAGAATTGCTTCTGTAGGCATAGTCAGGTACACCTTTAACCCTAGCGCTTGGGAGGCAGAGGCAAGGGAATCTCTGCGAGTTCAAGACCGGCCTAGTCTACATAGTGAGGTACCAGCACACAGGCCAGCCAAGTGAAGAACAGGAAGGGCGTCTGGCCTGAGTGACAGAACAGCCAGCATTTTCCAGGAAGAGGATGTTAGAGGCACACAGTGCCTGAAGATTTGGAATTTGGCTAAGAACTGCTAATGAGACATCTCAGTGGAGCTGGGTCCAAGGCTCAAAGATGTATGAGACAAAAGCTGGGGCTGATTCAGACATGGATGGTATTCAGAACCCTTCCCGATGAGATCACTCAGGGGTGGGGAGTGGGGAGTGATAGTAAAAGAGGTGAGGGGTCCCAGGGCTGAACCCCAATGTCTACACCAATGTTTGGAGATGAGGGTTCCACAGCTCCCGAGGAAGAATCAGTGAGAGGGGGCTGAAGAGGTGTGGCGGTGAATCAGGGGAGGATCGAGAAAGAATGAAATGTTCTAGAATCGAGGAGGAGGGAGCACTCAGGGAGCTGTCAGAAGCTGCTGAGTCATCAAGGGACCTGGGGACCCAGAACTGCCTGTCAGATATAGCCGCGTGGAACCACAGTGACAGCCGGCCAAGGAGAGCTCTGGTGAAGGGTGGCTGCAGGGCTAGCCAGTCAGAAAGGAGCGAGGGAGGGCTGGGAGACGCCATAGTGGGCCAAGCCCTTGCCACAAGTGTGAGGGACCTGAGTTCAAATCTCCAGAATCCATACAAAACCAGGTGCAAGCAGTGTATGTCTGTTATACCAGCACTCCTACGGTGAGATGAGAGTCAGAGACAAGAATTCCTGGAGGCTCGCAGGCCAATTAGCCTGGAGTATGGCGCAGTGAACACAAGCAGACCTTGTCCCAACTAAGGTAGAAAACGAGGACCAGCATCCCGGTTTGCCCTCTGACCTCTACACACTTGCTGCGACACATTGAAATCCACACTCACATATACAGATGGTATGCACACACGGGCATACACAGACTTTCTTTTTAAATGTCAAATAAAAAAAAAAATCAAGAAAAGGCACCCTGGGGCGTTCTGTCATCTGTAGAGAAGGGAGGGCAACTGGAGGGAACACAGTTCAAGAAGAGGAATTTAAGACGGAAGGAATCACAGTGTGCTGGGAGCTGCAAAGGCAGTGCTGGATGACTAACCCTGCATTAATCATCAGGACCAGGACTCAGAAGGTTTAAGTAGTAGAATCAGCAAGTTCCAGACAAGTCCGAGTTAGCACAGTGAGACCCTGTCTAAAGCAAAACAAACACAAGGCTTCGCTTCTGTCAGGCTAGCCCGTTTAGAAACTCTAATAGGTCGGGATTCTGAACACAAGTTCAAGTGCTACGGTGCTTTGGATAAAGTGTGAGTGCTTTTCCACACGAAGGAAAGCAAAGCTGACACAATTAACAGAAGTATGCAGACCCACCATCGCACCGGCAGACACTCAACACCTGATAAGACAGACAAAGGAAATCAATAGGGATCAACAAGGATCTGGACTATTTTAGCAATGTGATCAGCAAATTTGCTATCACGGACACATATAGAACTCTCACGCACCATGAGTGAAGTGTGGCTGCTTGCCAAGCGTGTGCAGAGCACCAGGTGAGACATAAAGCCAGTTTCAATGGCATTCAGGATATAAAAGTCAGAATACATGTACATACAAAAAATAGATTTAGCCAGAGACAAGGAATATTACAAAGGAGCTGGGGAGATGACTCCGTGGTTAAGAGCACTGGCTCTTCTTCTAGAGGACCCCAGTTCAATTCCCAGCACCCACATGGCAGCTCACAACTGTCTGTAACATCATTTCTACAGAATCTGATGCCTGCTTCTGGCTTCCTTGGACGCCAAACACATAAGTGGTACACAGACATACATGTAGGCAAAAGGTTCATACATACATTAAAATCAAGGAAATCTTTTAAAAAATTCTGTGCAACTCTACATTCTTAAAATACAGTTGGATAATGAAACTCAAGCTCGGAATTCCAGCACCCTGGCCGTGGAGGCAAGAGGATTAAAAACTCGTTAGCCTGAGCTATGGGTGTAAAGACAAAAGCTGAAAATAAAAGCAATTATAAGGACTGAGGCTACTGCTCGGGAGAACAGTACTTGCCTCTTACCTAGTGTGTACAAGACCCTGGGTTTCATTCCCAGATGAGCAAGGAAAGGAGTGGGAGGGAGAGGGAGGAAGAGATTGATTGGGAGAAAGAGAGATTGATTTTCACATAGCAGCTGACACCACACTCTCTCCTAGTGTGGAGCTGCTGGGAAGGAAGAGGGAATTTGGGGGAATCTGGGGCGGCATACGCTGCAGCAGCTGGTGGAAAGTCCCTGGAGAGGAGAAACTAAGGGCCCTTCGAGAACTGTCCTGTTCTGAGAGCTGTCAGTGTTGCCCCCCACGGGAACGTTCCTTGGCCTCATTGCCGCCTCCCCCACCCTCAGCAAACATAGCCTAATTCTGATCATGCTTTGGGTGAGGATTTGTGGCCAGGTCTCATGTGTGCATCAACAAGGTTCTGGAGACAGGAGGAGTGGTAAACACCCTCAAAATATGTCTTTGGCTACCCAAGCAGCCAGCTGTGGGGTCAGCTGCAGCACCTGGTGGCTCTGGCTGACACTGGACGGTAAATCCTTGACTTTGTCTACACTGAGCAGACACTACTCCCAGAACTGTAAGCAACATAACTCAGGGGGAATCCCTCGTCTTAGTGACCAGGCAGACACAGTCTCCTCAAGCCCTTTCCTTGTAACTGTGAAAACTGTGCAGGGGTGGGGGTGGGGGAGAGGATCACGTGACACAACAGGGTGTGTGACTCCCACATGGAGTCCCACATGGAGTCTTGCTGTGACTGAAGGGATAGATGAGGAAGGGACTGGTAGACAAGCGAAAGCCCTTGATGTGTCAAGGGTGTGGGGTGGTGCCGGGCCCTTTCCTCTTTTTGTGACTTTGGCTGTTGCTGCGTCAGGGTCGCTTGTGCAATAGAAATAGGAAAAAGCTTGCAAGCCAGGTTGGGGATAATTCAGCTGAAGGGACTTTCTTCATCCTTGCCAACTTTTGTCTCACTGCCTCATGGTCCAGAAGGGGGCCCACACATTGCCTCTCCTTTGACCTTTGTAGAAATCCCTAATTTGTAGAACTGCTGTGTCTATTTTATAGATTAGGAAACACTACCCTCACACAGTTAGCCAGGCCCTAGGTCAAGCCCGAGAGAGGTAGAAGGGCGCTGGGACTCACCGTGTAGATGGATTCTGCTGGAGGCTTTGTGGTTCCGCCGGTGGATCTGGGACCAGGGCAGGTCCTGGTAATGTGCTTGCCCAGAACTGACATCTGTTTCTGTAGGGAGAAGGAAGCCAGGGCTGTGGAGGCTGAGGATAAGCAGCTCTCCCTTCTCCCTCCCCTTACAGACCCCATTGGGGGAGGAAATTGCTGATTACCATGGGGCAACACAAAAATTAATCACTCAACCCTTTCCACTCACCGTCTCCAGGGAGAGGTGCCTGAAGCAACAGGAAGACCCACGTGGGGCGATGTCACGGCAGAGTGCCTGACTCTAGGGACAAAACTGTAGGTGGGCCCCAAGTGAATGCCAGCCAGCCCCTCACCGACTGTGGCCCTGAAGGAAGACGCTTTCTCTCTAGCTTCAACGTCTTCAGCAGTAGCCCCTCAGCGAGATGATTACAAAGTTTCAAGGAGGAGGGGATGTAGGAGAGGTTCTTGGTGGCACTCGGGAAATCTCAGTCAACCACCTCACGTCGGCTGAACACCTCTATTAGCTGGGCAGTGTGAAAGGGTGGACACATTCCTGCCCTCCTGATCTTATTTTGTGGGAGAGAGGGGCCATACATAGCAACTTTACCACGGCAGAGCTTTCTGGACACAGAGACCAATGACTCGGGAAGGGGTTATTGGGGGGAAATAGGAGGACTGGAGTGTGTTCAGCATGAACAGAGGCAAGGGCTCCGGGCAGAAGCACAGCAGGCAGGCAGGCAGGCAGGCTTGTACCAAACCTGCAGGACTGGGGGTGCTCAAGGAGAGGTCAGCCTGAGGCTAACTATCCTGATGGGCAGGATGACAGGCAAGGCAGTGAGGAGAGCAGGAAGCATCGAGGGCTCCAGCCAGCTTTGGAAAACTCCAGAAGGCTAAAACCAAATGGCAAGTGGAATTGGAGAACACTGGGTCACCCTGCTGGAAAAGCACCGGGCCTCGGGGACGGCTAGGGGGAGGCAGTTTGGACGCCCCCCCTCATCACAGGCACCACACTGCCAACAGTGGAGCAACAACGACCTCATCTCAGGGCAGGAGCTAATTAAAAACCCTGGCCACCTGCCAATCCCCAGCCCATTTACTCCCGGATTAGCACTCAAGAGCTACTTAACTCACAGGCAGAAACCGGTGCCACCCCCAGTCTCAGCATCATACAGCTGAACATGGAGTCAGGGAGGGAGACATGCCCTGTTGCTGCTTCTTCAAAAACCTGCAGACAAGCTCTCGGATCATCTCCGCTCTACGCATGAAGAAGTAAAATCTTGGAGAGGGTAGGGGATTGTGTGGACACGCAGTCTGTAAGCGACAGGGGCAGGATTGGAACCCGTGTCTGCATTTACTAAGATGCCAATCCAATGCTACTGAGAGTGTTGGCATCTGTTTGTGGGAATTCGTGGGTCTCATACAGACAGGTGCGGCCACCTGCGCACGGTTTATAACTCAGAAAGACCTCTGTCCTTGTCACTTAATTCTCTCAACAGCCTGAGGGAGTGGACACGGATTTACCATCTCACAGGGAGGAAACGTGAGGCCTGCCAAGCTAGCAAAAGACTGCCCATGAGGAAACATAGACCTGGCACCTCCCTGCACTGTCTATGCCTGGAAACACTGCCACAGTTACACCCCAGGGACATTCGGGGCAAAGATGGCTGGGGTCCTGGCCCCTCTCTTTTTGAGCCTGCTTGTCTAAACCCCACTAAAGCTGAAGGACAGGAACTCCCAGGCAGTGGCTGTTTGGAAGCTTGCTGGATAAGCACTTTGGATCCAGGCTAGAAAACACAGGTCTTGGCATGAGACACCTGTGGGCCATGGTGCCAGCCCTCTTCCATGCTGGACCTGGCTGAGCACGGGAGATCCTGTGGCCTATTGGGTTTGCCACTAAGAGCTCAGGGAGCTGAGTTGCACTGTTGGCCTCAGGAAAGTGCTCAAGTCCACAGGAGGCTACGGATTGTTGGGGATGTGCAGAGGAGGGAGCAGGAGGGGAGAGGAGGGCGGGCTAGAGAGTGGGGAGGGAAGAGAAAGGAAGGGGAAACGGGCAATGACGAGGCCACAGAATACCAAATGACACTAGTGTCCTTTACTGGGGGGTATGGTGGAGAACAGTCGGGGCCATGGGCGCTGGACGTGGTAAGATTTGCTCTCATCCACCTCCATAATTGGCCTCAGATGCAGGTACAAGGTGGATTGAAGTTTGGGAGCAATGGGGAGGAGGCCCAGACTGAAGCGGGAATCCTATGGGGACGGGGGGGGGGGGGCTTGCAAACTCGGTTGGGTTACATTTTGCTGTGGAGGTTGGGGATGCTCTGTCCCTTGGAACCAGCTCTGTCTACTCAGGACCCTGACCCAAACTGCCAGAACTTGTCCTTTCAGGCTGGGATTATTATTAGGTGAGTAAGCCAGCCAGCGTGACTTCTCCCATAGTGCCTCGCGCTCTGTTGTCCATGTTTCCTCTCCCCAGTAGGCGTCAGGGAAGGTCAGCAGGCCTGGACTGAGACCTAGCTCTCTGTACCTCTGCCCAAGAAACCTGTTAAACCTCAGTTTCCTCCACTTTGAAATGGGAGCCATAATGTCACCTTGCCCTCCTTGTGCCCTAGCTTGCTCTTCCTCATCTTTCAGGAATCAGCATGCATATATCCCATAATTCCTTCCACCAGCACCTACTATGTGCCAGGCTCTGGCACGCACCAGGGTATCAAGTCCCTGTCCTGTGGAGTGCTTCACTCAGGCAGGGAGACAACAGAAATGCAGAAACCAGAGGCTGGATAGTAGGGTGGGGGGATGTGATCGAGGACCCTGAGGAGGGTAATGGGGCCCAAGCCAGGGCCAGGGAGAAGGGGCTGGACCCTGGATAGGCTGAGGGATGAATGTGGAAGTGAGTGGACAAGCCACGCACAGCTCCAGGGTTTAATCCTGAGCCCTCAGGAGGCCTAAGGTCCTGAAGACTGTTCTTTTGGTCATTTGAGGTGGAGATACCCTATGCCCCATATATATATGGGTCACCATGTTCACCGTACCGGTCTGAAGCTTAGGGAGGGGCTTGGCAGCTCATCAATGGATGAAAACATAAGCCCTGGGACAGATAAGTCACCCAGGTGCCCAGAGAAAGGTGCCCAGGACCTTCCAGGGCTGTTTTTATACACACATATCCCAGCCAGGTGGAGTCGTCACACCTGCTCCCATGGTGGACGTCACGGTGGCCATCATCTTCTCAGGCCATCATCTTAGCTGCCCTGGTGCTCAAAGTAGCCCAGGTCTTCTTTAGTGCTTCCCACCCCCACCCTCCTGTCCACAGCCAGGATGCCTGGAATCGTCTCCGCTTGGACTCTCCTTTGCGGAGATCTCAGTTGAGGCAGGGAGGAACTGATTACCCTGCCCACACTCACAGAGCTGGTAATGTGGGGGAAGGGGGGTTAGAGCACAAACCCGGTCTGGAGCTGTGCTCTCAAGCCCCTTCCCCAGCCCCCGCTGACCACCAAGCAGACTCTCTTGGGAGTTTAGTCATTGTGTTTCCTCTGGGTTCCTAATCTCTGATATATCCTAATGCCTGGCACATAGCAGGTACTCGGCTAAGATCCACTTTAAAAGTTAACCAGTGTATTTCCTATGAAAGGACTGAGAATTAGGATCCCACCAGCAGATTCGTACTGGACACTAGTAAGTGCAGAGTCCCATACCGCAGGCCGAGGCAGATGACAAGAAAAGACCAGTGGTAAGAATGGGGGGGTGCCCCAGTGGGGAGTCAGCCCTTCTAGGGAGTCATCATGAACAGGAAACAGGCAAGTCAAGAGCTGGAGCACACTGTCCCCTGCACATACACTCCAGCCCTTGCTCTGCCGTGGGCTCACTATATGGCCGTAAGCAAATCACAGCTGCTTTGGGCTTCACTCTCTGGGGTTGCGAGATGGGAAGAAATGTCCTCCCAGAGCTACGGAAGGGAGCACATGAGATGTGTGTGGGAGGGTCAGGCGCACAGCATCTTTTAGGCTTTCCCTTCCTTGTTCATGGCTGGCTATCAGGGGTGGGGGGTGGGCTCTGTCCGGGAACCTGATGGGAGCCTGCATCTTCTGCCGGATTCTTAAGGGATGAGTAACCTGGGAAAGTCTAAAGAACCCCTATTTCTTTCAACTGGGTCAAAGTGGGCCTCTGGGCTGATGGAGTATCCTGCCCAGGGCCTAGGATACCCTATGGGACAGGGCAGTTCCTCTGGTCCCAGAAGCCTCCCCAGGTCCATAGTGTGGATGGAGGATGCAAGACTCAGCATAAACGTGTTACGTATCCACTTGGTCCTCACCTTCTTCCAAAGCAGGAGAACTGTGCCCAGTACACTCAGGGCACCCAGCAGGCCGGTAAAGCTGAACAGCAGGGCCTCCTGGCGCTTGAACGAAGGTGGCTGGTATGCTGTGTCTGGGCGGGAGGGAGGAGCGCAGGGAGCAGAGAGTAAGTTTCCCAGGCGAGATCAAGGCCTACATGGCTTACCAACCCCTAGCCCCAAAGCTTCACATTGCCCTTTTACCCATTTCTAACTTTCTACGACCCCTGACCTTGTCAGGGCCCCCTCTGAGACCCTTCAGGGCCTTGGCTTGTGTATTGATTGTCGTGATACTCTAAGGATAGGACCAGGTCATTTCTTCCTTTAGTGGCCCTGATTCAGTGGCCTTGGCACCACTGAGGGTTGCCTAGGGGACCCTTGTGAGTCATATCATCTTTGGGGACTTCCTCCCTTGTATCTGAAATAATGACAATATGATTGTATGCTGTGAGGGATACTGGGACTGACAAGGACAGTTACACCAAGGGTAGATGGGGCAAACGTCCCCTCATTGGGAACACTCCCTCCACCCTCCTTCCCTGCCTTCATCTGGCTGACAGAGGACAAAGAACAACCCACTTCTGGGTCCATAATAGTTACTGAGCAAGTGCCCAGGCAGCATCCCTCATGGGCTAGCCTGTGCAACATTGCTAAAGCCTTTGATGGGCAGAGTACTGCCATTAAGGTCAGGCCCAAGGTCACATACATCCAGGCAAGCAGCAAGACAAAAAGTCAAATCCAGAGCTGTGGGATTCCAAAGTCCCAGCGCCTTCCAATGGGACTCACAGAAGTGGCTAGAGAAAGAACCAGGACTTTGACCACAGCTCGCTTTTAATTTTGGGGGTCTCACACCATTGAGAATGGTAACTAGGAATTACTTCCAGAATGATGTAAGGCAAATGCTCACTCAAGCAAGACACTCACAAGTGCATGTGTGCACACACCTAACCCCACACTGCCCTGCACTGCTAATGGGATCCTGGCACCAGTGGGCTGAGTGACCTCTCTCAAGTCACTTGTCCAAGGTGACTAGAGGCAGATCCACACACTGGGCCCCTTCTCTTTCAACACAAAGGTGGGTGCAGGACAGGGGTTTCCGGGGTGGGGGGAGGGCTTCTGCTCTGTTTGCAAAGCTAGAAGGCAAGGCAGAGAAACTGCTGGGTGGTCCCAGCATTTCATTCACCCTGGAAGGATCAAGAGGAGGCCTTACCTCTGACCAGAATGAAGGTGCCACTGCCCTGCACCGAGACGTGCCCTCGGACTAAGCAGTAGTAAGTGCCTGTGGCCGATGCATTTGGCAGACTGAGTTTAACCTCGCAATCCAGGGTCTGGTTCTCTGCGCCAGGACTGTGTTTGCAGTCAATTGGCTTCTCCAAACTTCTCTTGCCATGGAGATCCTCATGAAAGAAGCTAAAGGTGAAGCCTTTAGGTGGGGTGTCCTGGTAGTTGATTCTGCAGCTAAAGGAGACAGCCGTGTTGGCCAGAGAGACCATGATAGGGAGGCCGGTGTGGGTCACTGATATCCCTCCTGTTGGGGGAGGGGAAATGACAGGATAAAGTGACAGCTCACTGCAAGATTCCTCACCCAAGTGTGCCTCCTGCATGTGGACTGCACAGGGTGATCCTCAGGGAGAGTCCATTTCTCCAATGGACAGAGGCCAGGCGAAAGCTTTGACTGAAGAAGAACGGGAGTCAGGAAGGTCAACACTAGGATGGATTCTTCAACAGGTGGGAGGTGGGAAGCAGAGACACCCCTGGGGCTGAGGGGACCTCAGAGCCTGAGCTCCTAACCCCTCTCCTTCCCACAGGATGAAAGACACCCCCATTTGTTACCCATACAGACCTAAGGGACCAATAGCTAGGGAAGAAATGAAGGAAAGGAGACTACAGGAACGCAGAGCACTTCCTGACAGAGGGAGCACGTCTTCATGCCAGCAGGGGAGGGTGGCCAGCAGGCAGAGATGGGCCATTTCCAGAATCAGGGCTGGGAGAACATTGTCAAGTCTCCAGGTGGTATAACAAGCCGTTCCTCCAAGAGCCGTCCTCCAAAGAAGCAGAGCTGCTCACACGTGGCCACTTGTGCCCAATGCTCATCACAAGGCCAGTTCCGCCGGAGCCATCCTCCCTAACCCACACTCATCAGAAAACAGTCTAAATACCCCCACCACTCCCCGCCCATGCAGCAGCCCAGCCTGGCTAGGCCTCCTGTAAGCTTCCGAGAGGCTGTTTAGAACTGGAGCAGGGTCAGCAGCCACCGCCCCCGACTTTGGCAACACAGGTCTCTCAGCTTCAATATTCCATGCCTCCTGGGCCCTTCCTCTCCAGCAGCTGAGCAGCAGACAGTTTTTAAATTGAGGTCGGCAGTAAGCAGCCAAGAACACGCAGGCCGGCTTGTTAATCGGGAGAAGATCGTGCGTTTTGAGACGCTTAGAAACTCTCAAGATTTATTTTGCCGAGGAAAGTGAGCTGTGGGCCTCCTGCCTGTGGGCTGGCATGGAGCCAGAAGGGTCTCTTCTGGCCTCTTCAGCTTTCCCCTGGGGAAAGGGCCCTCAGGGGAGGCTGAGCCTTCTGGAAGATTCCAGGGCAGGGATGGAGATGATCCTCCAGTGACTGCTTACAGCTTTGAACAGGCTGATATTTTGAATTTGCTGTGGAGCCTCTAAGAGAGTCTCCACCCCCTAAAGAACAGGGGGCATTGATAGTGCCACGTTCACTGCCAATGTGGTACAATGGTCACTTTGGGAGTGTTTTCTGAGTTAGTGCCCAGGCCTCTTCCCTGGCAAGGAGTCCCTGTCCCGGGCTTCCCTTAGGCTGGCATTACCCTCATATTCTCTGGCCTCTGTTGCGGAGCAGCTGCAGGTGACTATACTATATACACAACATAATACTGGCAGAGCAATGTTCTAGCTTTGTTATGAAGAAGCCTCAGTTCAGGGTAGAGGCGGTCTGAGGTACCACATGACTGGATAGAGGAGGCAAGAGACAGGTGTTACAGAATGATCTCCCAGGGTTCCAGACGGGCTGGAGGGTGCATGAAGCCATAGCATGAAGTGATTAAGAGCTCTGCCCACACCGCCAGCAGCTCACCTGTCCCCTTCTGTCCCGTGCCTCTGCCAGTCCTCCCCTCGGCAGCTGCACTGCCAGCAGCCCCCTGTACCCACAGATACCCTCTCTGTGGCCTGTCTGTGTCCCCCTCTGCCTGTGTTTCTTACCTGGAGAGTCCTCTGTCCAGAGCCCCTTTACCCGTGCTCCCTTCCTACGGCCAACTCCCGAGATCCTAGTCTTGATTCCTCACAGGCTCCCGGTACCTGATCCTCCTGATGGGCTCTCGATATGCTCCTGTCAGGCCGCCAGGGTAAGCAGAGCCTGGCTGGCTTCCCCAGGGTTCCAAAGTGAAGGGCGGAGGTTGGAATCCCTCGAAAGAGACCTAGAAAGGGGTCATCCCTCCTTCCCTGGGACCTTTAGCTTCTCCAGTGTTATGAGGTCACTCTCAGACTAGGGGAGGTAGACATGCTGCCAGCATGACGAAGTCACTTTCCTAATTTTTCTGGCAGGAAGATAACCATCCAATTGTCTTAACCCTCCCCCACTTCCCCCCATCTGCCCCTCCCCGGGGCCAAAGCACCCTTCTAAAAAATCTGCTAGAGCAATTAAGCCAATCTTTGCAATTCTGGAGATAGCTATAAAAATAGATGTCTATTGTTCAACAGCCTTAAGGGATTGGCTGTTTTCAGGTTAAAGGGTTAAGATCACAAAATTCAGGGCCCGACTCTGGCCAGTCATAGTACACAGAGACTTTGGAAGGAGAACCTCGGGCCTTGAAAGCACAATATCTAATGGGGGAGAAAGGACTCAGCTCCTTCCATGTCGTAGAAGCAATGACAACTAGTCTGGAGACAGCTGAGAGCCAGGAGGAATCTCAGTCGGTACAGTGCTGCTAGGGTGTCTGACGTGGAGATGGAGTCCATCACTGTCCCTCCTTTGTGGGGTGTCCGCACCTCACAGTCTGAACCATGGAGCTACTGTGGATTTCCAGTCCTCTGCCACACTCCATTAGTTTGCCAGTGAGAAGCAGCCCCCATTTAAGGTCCAGAGCTGCAGATGTGATCACAGAAATTCTAAGTTCATGCAACCTTCCCCTCTAGCATTTGCTGTGCCCTAAACACACACACACACACACACACACACACACACACACACACACTACAAAGTAAGGGTGTCAGGCAGCTTGCAGGTACTGCCTGGCCTATCAGCATCCCCTGTGATGATAAAGTAGAGATGCTTGGGGTGGAAGGTAGGGAGGGTAGAAGGGAGGGAGTACTTAGTCTCTCTAGGTAGGTCAGGAGGTGCCTGGGAGTTGAAAACTTCTTTGACTTGGAGTGGGTATCCAGAAATAGAAGGAAAAGAACCTGAATAGGAAATCAACCTAGCCAGGTATGACACAGGCTAAATGCCAGTCTAATACCATGAGGCAATTATAGTAACCTCACTCCAGACAGAGAGAGAGTAGAAAGATGGCTCAGTGTAGAGCTGGAGAGATGGCTCAGCAGTTAAGAGCACTGGCTGCTCTTCCAGAGAAACCAAATTCAATTCCCAGCGCCCACATGGCAGCCCACAGCCATCTGTAACTCTAGTCACAGGGGATCCAATACCCCCTTTCTGGTCTTTGCAGGCACTGCATGCAAGGGGTACACAGACACATTCAGGCGAACACTCATAAACATATGATAAAAAAATAAATAAAACCTCTCCAGGTGTGGGGGCACACACCTTTAATCCCAGCACTCTGGAGGCAGAGGCAGGTGGATCTCTGTGAGTTCAAGGCCAGCCTGGTCTACATAGTTCCAGGACAGCCTAGGGCTATTACAAAGAGAAACTCCGTCTTGAAAAACCAAATAAATAAATAAATAAAAACTCAAAAAGAGAAAGTGTGGTTCAATGGGGAAAATGGCTGTCACCAAGCCTGATGGCCTGAGTTTTATCCCTGAGACCTACATGGTAGAAAAGGAACAAAGTCCCTCAAGTTAGCCTCTGACAGCCACACTCATGCAAGGGAATGCACGCAATAAATAATTACATGTTAAAAGAAAATCAAGCGGAGTCTCAGAGGCTCAAACCTCCAGGATTCATGAACAGTGGCAGTGTGCTTGGAACGAGGCTTCACCTGACTCTGCTGAGGGGGAAGAGCCAAGGGCCACAGGCACAGGATGGAGAGGGAGTGGTGTTCATGGAGGAGCCAAGCACGGTAGCCACCAGCTGTCAAAGATAGTCTGTCAGATCCCAGACATTTGTACAATCCAGTCAAATGGTTACATGGCTCATGTCTCATGGGTCTCTGAGTGAGTGGATCACTGTGTGTGGCAGTGTCTCACTCACAGGACAATGTGACCCGGACAGGGAGCTGTCTGAGTGTTCTCTGCAGTTCTGTTTATGCAGCTGTCTTTGGAGATAAGTACCCCAGGAGCAGGACTGAGAGGACCCCAGATTCCAGGGACTGAGGAAGGAGAGGTTTATGGGGTATGTTTTTGTTTGTTTGCTTGCTTGCTTGCTTGCTTTTGTTTTGTTTTGGTTTCTCAAGGCAAGGTTTCACTGTGTAGCCCTGGTTGTCCTAGAACTTGCTCTGTAGACCAAGCTGGCCTCAAACTCACAGAGATCTGCCTGCTTCTGCCTCCTGAGTGCTGGGATTAAAGGTGTGCGCCATCCCTCCCAGCCTGAGTGGAACCTTCTGCCATTGCAGTTCCCAGAACACAATGACCCTGACCCTACATGGCTCCCTTTTCTGTACTTCCACCCAGGGTGACGTGGGAGTGGAAGGGCTGAGTGGGAGAGCGATGTCCCCACCTGCCACAGACTCCCAGCTGCACGGCGGTTGCCAAGGTCAGCATGGCAGTTACAGGGTTGGAGATGTGAAGAAGCAGGAATCATTGTGACCAAGTGACCAATGACTGTGACTTCCTCAGAGAGACCAGAGCTGCTGAGGGTCCCAAGGACCCTGGCACAAGTCAGAGTGGCTCTTCTGGTCACGCTCAAGGTACCATACAGGTAGGTCTTCAATGCAGGCTAAACTGAGACAAATCTGGAAGACAGGAAGACAGTCCTAAGAACCTTGCATGTTTTCTGCAAGGGAAGGAACTCAATGCTGCCTCTTTGGAGAGGTCAGGAAGGTTGCAGATATATGGCCTGCAGGGTTCCATGAGGGCACAGTAGGGCAGTGGGTGAGAAGGCAGGGAGGAAGACCAGAAGCTTTCTGTCTTGCAGTGGCTGAGAGCCCCTCTTTTTGACCTAGGTGGAAATGGGGGAAGCAGAAAGAATTAAAGGCCAGGTAGGGTGTCTCTGGCTGGGAACCTGGGAGCCTATGTGATGGTGACCTAGATAAGAAAGGGAAAGCGGGAAGACTCGAGGGGCAGGTGTGTGTATGGGGGGGGGGGGG